TCCATTTTGGAGAAGAAAGGCGTTACAAAACTTTTTTCTAAGCGAAGAGAGAAAATAGAAAAGTGAAGCTAAAGATTTTTAAGTATGAAAGTAAAATGAGATTAGGAAAACAAAGTAGTGTGTTTTTTTAAATGTTATTATATTTATTTATTATGCACAAAAAATCTTGAAGTCAGAATCTATTTTTTTTTAATTTCTACATTCATATGCTGCGTGTGTCCATCTAAATTTAGATTTCAGAATTAAAATGCCTGACGCCCGGCCTAGTTGATGTTGGGAAGTTTAACACCAAAAGGTGCAGGGATTGTTACTGCGCGATTTAGGATTAGATTACTACTATTAGATTTACTACGTGGTTTGTGTGTCATTGTTAAGTGACATGAAAGTATGCTTTTCGTTGTATGTGGAAATCACGACGAATACTTTTTAATCCTAACTGTAATCGTAAAGTTGTTGAATAAAATAATGTTAACAATGAATTAAAAACGAGTATTATTTGTCTTTTTATTGTATGACATATTTCGTCTTACTTTCCTGTCAAATCAGTGAGAGGTTTTTTTTTGAAACGTGACAGAAGTGTGTAACAGAGGGCCTTGTGTGAGTGTATTTCACATCAACTCGCTTTCAGTCCGCACTGGACACTTCGCCAATCGCAGCGGTCGCCGTCGAGAGCGAGTCGATGTGAAATACACTCACACTAGGCCCTTAGGAAGCTCCATCTGTCACCCTAGCAGAAGCAGGCCGGGGTGGCGGCGAGCGCGTTGCGAAGCGCGCTCGCTTCCAGGGAGCACAGGGAACATGGGGTTCCCACACGGGGCGGGGGTCGTCTACTCGTCTGTAGATGACCCGAGGTATGTCGGGGCACCAGGGCCTTCCTTTCTAGGGTATACCTGGTTCCCCGGCTATTAGTACCCGGCGAAGGCGTGCGGTTTTAGTCGGTTCGAGTCCGACATGCCACCGACAGGTGGTATCCGAGGGGATTTCCGCACGGAAAAAAAAAAAAAAAAAAAAAAGGCCCTTAGGAAGCCGGGGCAACGCGCTATTTAGTTTGCCCATTGAGTGCGTGCGGTGCCGCGGTGTAAGAGTTGGAGTTTTAGGTGGTAAGTGAGATATTAGATGTTACTTTACAAGTACTGTAAGGATCGCTCGTTTTTCATGGCCGTACACAGTAAGTAATTATTTAACAAAAACAAAAACATTTGTATCAATGTGTATTTGTAAACAATGTGTATAACATTTGTAAAAATAATAAACGATGGGGTTAATATAAAACGCGACAGCTGTGTCAATGATAATAAAGCTTTTTACAACATCATATAAAAACATAAATCTTTATTGTATTCGTTCTGTTATTATTTTGTTATTGAACTGTATAAGAATGTGTGTTTATAACGCACAAGATTACTATGCCACTACGAGTATAACCGCATTAAATTAACCAAAACATCAAACTAATATATCCAAATATCGTTTACAAGTAGTGCATGCACAACAACCAGGTACCGCTTCAGTAATTTTTGTATACCACTTCATTGTTATTCAACAATGAACATTATCATAACACGATAAAGTACACATTACAATGCAAAGGATGTGTATCACTGAAACTTAATTAACCACTCATTTAATTAGGTCGTACAGTTGATTAACTGTGTTAATTGTTTCTTGTTTAAAACGAATTGTTGTAACATTTGGTAGGAAGCATTAACGGTAATTAGTAATTACAGTTTTATAATAATGTTTTTATGCTATTTAAGAAGTGATTATTTTAATAATGCGCCACAAATTGTTAAATGGAACGGATAACTGAGACTTACTGAGACTCGTTTGAATGAACGAAAAATATTGCGAGTTTTTTCTATGGAATAATTGACAAATAAACAGATAGGTTAGTGAATACCACCGCCCATGGACACCTGCAACCGCTATTAATCATACATATTAATTTAAAATTATATAAAGGGAGCATAATTAAAAGCGATACATTGAAATGTTATTTCACAAATCTCTAGTAATACATGTAATGAACATAAAGGCTAAGTTCACACTGCTATGTTTATAACTAACTGTGAGAAATCACCCACAATTATCTGCAATACATTTTTAGTGTTTAACAAATGAACCTTCTTTACATAAAAATCCAATCAACTTTTTCACACTTACATAAACGAGACTATTTTACGGCGTCTATAACTTTTATATTTCTCAATAGTCATTATTTATGCAATTACAATAATTTTATATCTTGTAACATACTAGTCTCACTTTATTGCTGAAGTTAAAACTTCTTTATTTTTTGAACAACAAACAAAATAATGTATTTTTAGAGATGGAAAAAAATTATTGAACTCTCGACACTGTTACTGTTACCGACAGCTCTGTATATCAGTATCTATATATGTTATTGAGTTGAGTTTGGGACGAAATACATTAATTATATAACCGTATATAACAAAAACATATACTGTGTATGTACTTACAACATAGATATATATTCGAATCGAAAAAAACAACTGTTTAATAAAATTTTGAATGAATAAGGTTAGAGGAGGCCAGATGGGGGCCTCCTCCTCCATTTCCTAGATGTGGAGTACCTAAAAATGTTTGCGTTTGTTACTCCTGAGTTGCAGACGTTCATGGTCGGCGATGGTCACTTTTCATCAGGTGACCCGTCTGCTCGTCTGCCCCCTCTAACATAAAAAAAGCCGCCAGTGCACATGCTACCCTTAATAATCATAAGCTTTCCTGTGTACATGACACTAAAACATATTTAATGTTAGTAGGTCGAGACCTAACCATTCTTTTCTTTCTTTTCTTTTTCTTTTTTTTAAAAGACAACGCCCGCATTAGGAATAAATCCTGTGTCGCGGGGGGCTTTACAAACATACATGAAACGGACACAAAGAACACCCAGACTCAGAACAACAATTTGTGGATCACACAAAGTTCACACGCAAAAAAACGAAAGATCACACGCCATCCGTGCAGTCTGACGTTAGTTCTTTTGTTTTTCAAGACAACTCCCGCATTAGGAATATATCCTGTGTCGCGGGGAACTCTATAAACATAGATGAAACATAGACAAAGAACACCTAGACTCAGATCACACAAAGTGTTATTCCATGTGGGAATCAACCTACAACACACAGCGCAGTAGAAAGCGGCGTGGCGAGCGCTTAAACCATTACAACATCCGTGCGGTCTATCTTGTAATATAGGTACTTATAATATCGATACATTATACTTTTATTCGCTCAGTGCATTTCTTGCAGGCTCGTTTTGGTTCTCCGGTAACTTCACACACTCGGTGAAAAGCGACTAGAGAATGGCTAAACAGGGGTTTTCTGTAAGTCGACCTAGGATATTGAAGTAGCCATTATTACTAATAGATTTCACTAATACCATATAACCAACCTAACCATTTTCAAAATATTGGACATATTTTGAAAATGGTTAGGTTTTTAAAAAAATATCGTTATTTCTTTTTTTTTCTGAATATTTAAAAACAATCTGTTACGTTTAAGTTGCAAATGTGTTAAAAACATGTACCTACGTATTGTTTGATATCTAACAAGGTGTCTAACAATAGCTACAATTTTGGTAATGGAAGTTACAAAACAAAAATAATAATATATATGATCAATACAAAAATAGTAACAAATAGTTAAAGAAGATGTAGTAGTTAAAAAGAAGTAATAGTTAAAAAATGTAGTAGATCAAATTTTGGCAACTTTTATAAAAATCTGGAAAGTGCAATATCTTGAAAATTTTTAGGTTTGGGATAAGGTATTTAATCATTATGATGCCAACAACAACCTCCTGAAGTATCTAGGTCGACTTAGCCAGTAACCCTGTATATGTATACTAGAATTTTTCAGGTTATAACGGAAGATTTCCATTCGAATATTCATTTTTTTTTCTTTTCATTTCTAAAGTTATTTTTTTAAGTTATGCCCGATATGTCATGCGGTCATACAAAGTAGAAAGCTATAGTCGTACAAATTTGCAGGTCAGACCAGCCCTTTCATTTCGCTCCTACAACAAACAATAGTGAGTAAGAAAGCGGATGTTTGCGTATTGCAATTTAGATGGGCAATAACGATAGTGCGTTAATTGTGCTTGACGCTTGATCGAAAGGGCCCGCCACAGCCCGTTGCGTTGTAATAACCGCCAACATTATCTTTAATGTAATTATATCGTGCCTGTAATCAACGTAAATATAATTTTAAAAGTTCACTTGCAATTATAGATAATCTGGAATTGGTGTTTGTAGTTAAATTAAATGTTTTTTTGTTGGAATTACAAAGTTTTCTTACCCTTTGATTGGAGATACTGTTATACTCGTAAATATTTTATTTAATATTTAAAAGCACATATAAAACTTATTTATCAGCCTTCAAACGGTTAAATATTGTATACGAAATGTTATGTATCATATAACGAGAATGAAAATTCACATTACGGAATTGTAACATTGCATTCTCACGTTTATATGTAACCACATCTATGAAAAACATAATATTAAACATACAAGAACCATTTTTTACTGCTGATTTTTAGATTAAAAGATTTTAGTATGAAAAATAGACAAAAAATCTCAATAAATATTTTCATAAGTAATTAGCCTCTACCCATGGAATCGAAGTACGAAGGAATAAATATTAATTTTTATATAAGAAGAAGTTTATGTATTGTACGTGTAGATGTATATATGTAGTACTGTATATATTGGTTTATTTATGTATATTAGTTAGAGTTACATTAAATTTAATATAAATCAATCAAATTTCTTGTTCTCTCTTGCACCCACCGCACCTTTTTTCTACATCGCCCGAAGGTTGACTGGCAGAGAATGCGCTGGGCATAGTCCGCCTGTTTACGACTTGTGCGTTAAGTTATTATAAATATGTATAAAAATACAAAATTACATCAAGAGAAAAGCTTAACTCAACTTTATCAACCGTATCACTAGATAGTAAATATATTTTTGTTTGTTACAGATCTTTTGGAAAACACAATCGCCACCATTTACCGATCACATTACATTATGGGTGTGTCAGAGCCTGGTTCTTCAACGACTCCAGACCTGCCCCCTATGGAACACGACCGTCCAGGCTCCGGCAGCGGATTGGATGATGAAGATATTCCTCAGAGAAAACAGCGAAGATACAGGACTACTTTCACTAGTTATCAGCTGGATGAGCTGGAGAAGGCTTTTGGAAGGACGCATTACCCTGATGTATTTACTAGGTAAGTTTTAAATGAACTTGTGTATGACTGACTAACTTCTTCTGTGTGATGACGGATTAAGAATACGGAGTTTCACCACCCCTATTCGTATGGGTGCGTAAGGGTCGACTAAGGGAGCAAACTAAGTAAGACAGTAGCACTGCAAAGAGAAAAATAACGACACAAAAACTATACCAACCCGTCTGGCCAGTGTGAGTAAAGTAGGCCAAAACCTCCTTTCTAAGGAGAGGCCTATGTCTCGCAATGGACTATTGAAGGCTGTTGATGATGATAATGAAAATTTCTTGAAGTCATAGGTGTGTGTTTCTAAAAAAATACTAGCACGTGTATCATTACTTTTTGACTAAAATAATTAATTACGAAAAAAAATTGAATAAGCTTTTATATATATATGGAGATTATGTAGCACTAAAGTAGTCAAAACAATTAATATTCACTGAAGCTACATATGTAGGTATACAAAATTTGAGCAAAATCGGACATCGGGAAGTGGTTCTAATTTAGCTTCCAAGATTCATGCCCAACACACATACATACAAACAATGCAAGTTAAATAAAATCTATTTAAATGACATCACCCCTTTCAGCGGTCGCCACGCCGCTTCCTACTGCGCTGAGTGTTGTGGGTTCGATCCCCACATGGGACGACACTTTGTGTGATCTACAAATTGTTATTCTGAGGCTGGGTGTTCTGTGTGTACGTTTCATGTATGTTTGTAAATTCCCTTGGGACACAGGATATATTTCTAATGTGGGAGTTGTCTTAAAAAAAAACAAGAAATTAAATTTTAAAAAATTGGTGTCGTTCAAGGATTTCTTAAATATTCATACATATTTAAATATGATAATCAAACGAGTAAAGTAAGAATAGGTTTGAAATTTTAGCGTCAAAACAATTTGATAAATGTAGTTAGTGGTGGAAAGCTAAAGAAATCCACTTATTTGAGACCTTCGTGTTTATTTAATTTTCGTTGTTTCAGGGAAGAGCTCGCATTAAAAATCGGCCTCACCGAAGCTCGTATACAGGTAAAAGTCATAATAATACTTAAGACCTATACACCTTGACACTCAAATGTCACTTAATTATTAACTCATGGTTAGTGAACCTGACTGCTGATTAGGAGATCATGGGTTCGAATCCCGCCTGGAACAAATAGTTATTTATTTATTTATTTATATCTTTATTGTTTACAAATTAGCACATAAGACATTACAAATATATAGACTTAACAATCGGCGGTCTTATCGCTCACGGCGGTCTCTTCCAGACAACCTTGATACGGATATTTGTTATTTAAAAGTTGAGTAGTTTACATACACATAACGCATATCACGTGAATATTTAAAATATAAACAAAAGCATCCATACACAATAAACATCTGTTCACACTACACATAGATAAATACATATACATACATACATACACACATACATAAACAAAATTTATAAATATACATATACATATTTATATATACATATATATACATATTCAATAGACATACACACAACATATATATATACTGTCCGAAATATATACCATATATAAAGAAACCAACAGTATTTATAATGTCAGATAAAAATCCTTCACTAGCTTTTTGAAAGCGGGCAAGGTTTTAGCTTGCCGGATTGTCAAAGGCAAGTTGTTCCAAAGTCTTACTGCTTGCACAGTAAAAGATTTGTCAGCAAACTGGGTGGAATGTTGCGGCATTTTTAGTTTTAAATTCTCCGATGACCTTAGGTCCCTGCAATGTGTGTTGTGTAAGAACTGAAAACGTTCTTTGAGATAAGAGGGTGTGCGAGGATGAAACAGAACACTGTATAAAAGAGAAAGAATATGAAGATTCCGGCGAAAGCGTATTGGTAGCCACTTGAGTTTAAAACGATACTCTGAGATGTGATCATATTTGCGTAATCCAAATATGAATCTAATACATAGGTTTTGGAGTCGCTCAAGTTTATTCAGTTGGTCTTCGGTGAGATCCAGATAGCTGACATCGCCATAGTCAAGGATAGGAAGAAGAAGAGATTGTGCGAGCGCAATTTTAGTATAGGTGGGAAGGAAGTTCCGTAGCCTTCGCAGAGATCCTGCCGCTGCAAATAGTTTTCGGCTAACTTCTCCAACCTGGGGGCCCCAGGATAGGTACCTATCCATGTGGATCCCCAAGTTTTTTACCTTTTCACTGTAAGGTACAACCGAGCCATTGCAACAAACAAATGGTATTTGCTGAAAGTTTATTTTAGCTTGTAGCCTGGGACTACCTACAATAATCACCTGTGTTTTTGTGGGGTTTACGCTTAGGCCATACTCCCTACTCCAGTTACATATTTGAATTAAGTCTCTATTTATGGCATCCACTGCTTTTGTTAAATTATCTGGAGTAGCTTGTGAGTAGATTTGGAGATCATCTGCGTAAAGATGGTAGGAAGACAGTAATTGATTTGTGATTGAGTTAATAAAAACTGCGAAAAGTAAAGGTGATAACACGCCGCCCTGAGGTACGCCCGCAGATGTTGTGAGCCAAGAAGAATAAACGTTTTCAGTACAAACACGCTGCTGGCGACCGTACAGGTAACTACGAAACCAGTCAATTGCCGATGGAGATATGTTAAGAGAGCACAATGTACCCAGCAAGACATCAAAATCCACAGTGTTGAAGGCGTTGCTGAAGTCGAGTAAAGCAAAGACCGTTAGCTTTCCTTCGTCCATGCCTGACCTAACATCGTCCGTAATATGGACTAGAGCTGTTGTAGTGCTATGACCTGGACGAAAACCTGACTGGAAAGGATTGAGGAGACAATTTCTTGAAAGAAATGAGGTTAACTGTGTGTGAATGAGACGCTCGAGGACTTTGGAAAGAAAAGGAAGGATAGATATGGGACGGTAATCTGAAAAGGAGGACGGATTACATTTCTTGGGGAGAGGAATAATTTGAGCCATTTTCCATGCAGAAGGAAAAACGTTGACGGATATGGAATAGTTGAGAATATGGCTAATTACAGGTAGGATCTCATCCAGGATAGGAAGAACCATTTTACGGCTGATACTGTCGCTTCCTACTGCAGTAGAAGTTATTGACATAATGCTCTTCCTTACATCACATGCAGCAAATTGACTAAAAAAGAATGGGGAACAGTCAGGAATCGGCAGAGAAGAAAGATAATTCAGCGTCGTAGTCTTGGTAGCCGCTCTGTAAACGGAGGCAGCAGAAAAATATGAATTCAGGGAATCAATATCAATATCTTTTGAAGCACAATTTGGACGTGACTTGCCGATTCCCAAGGACTTAAGAAACTTCCAGACCTTAACTGGGTCACCGTTTTCAACCGATTTGTGGATATGTCGGCGCTGAGCGTTCCTACACATCTTATTGCAGTGATTTCTAATAAGCACAAATTTTGCCCAGTTTGATGCTGTAGGGTGACTTTTATACTTCGATTGAGCTCTTACTTTCTTTCTCTGTATCTCCTTTATTTCGCCAGTAAGCCAAGGTGCAGGGAGATGTTTTACCTTTATTTGTCGCATCGGCGCATGCTTGTCGTACAAGTACATTAAATTATTTGTAAAGATGTCTGTTTTTTCGTCAACACATTGGGAGTTAAAAAGTGGACTCCAGTCGATGTTGTCAGCATCTCTGCGAAGATTTTCGACATTCATATTTCGAAAATTACGGTGTGAGATTATTTTAGCTTTAGGTTTAGGAGTACGAATGATATAGGATAGAAAGAGAAGATCATGATAGGAAAACGAATCTGCGGAGCACTGGCCATGTTTAGCCACGTGCTCTACAGAGGATACAAGGATGAGGTCTAAGACAGATGAATTACGGTTAGGCAAATTGTGTGTAGGATTAAGTGAAAGAATCGAAAGATTGCTGGATTTAATAACAGATCGAAGGGTGGCAGAACGAGAATCGTTTTTCAATAAACAGGTGTTAAAGTCACCCATGACTATAGTATGACTGTACGAGGGGGTTAGGTTTTCTAACAGAACTTCAAGTGAAGAAAAATAGTCTACTCGTAAGGAGGGACTATAATATACACCGAGAAGTAGTTTTGTGTTTTGGAGTGAGATTTCAATGAATAAATGCTCGCCAGCATTTGTGGGGGGGGGGGCTGAGATGACATATTTACTATGGAGAAAGGAATGTGAGATCGGATATACATGGCAACTCCACCGCCACGTCCACAAATACGATCATTCCTTACCAGCTGAAAACCTGGTAATGAGTACGATACCGTGGAGAGGCATGGCTTTAGCCACGATTCTGATACGAGAATTGCGTGGACATTCGTACAGTCGAAGGTTGTCAGCATTTCGGAGAAATGTGCCGGAATGCTTTGGGCATTTATATGAACGACATTGAAATTCCTTGGGACATCAGAGAATTGATTCGAGATAGTGTCTGCCAGTGAAGGAACACTAACGAAACTAGCATCGTCACTGGATACCGAAAAATATTCGTCAGTGTCACTATTAGTGACGTGTGACGTCATTAGTATATATTATATATATAAAGAACGAAAAGAAAGGTTTAATTTAAATAAGTTAATTAATATATAAATATTAAAAAAAGAAAATAAAAAGAAAAATACGTTTAACTTGTATAAAATATTAATAAAATTCCCCAATTTATCCGTCTGCCGGCTGTATGTTTTTATAATAATAAACAGATTAATAAAAGAAAAGTTTGCTTAATGTAGCATCATAGAACTAAATCAAGTTATGTGTTAGTTATGTGTTAAGCATGATCATTTCTAGTCTGGGTGTAAAGGAAATTATATTATATATGTAGTTTGGGATCAGACTGCTTTGTGTGAGATGTGTGAAGTAAAAAAAAGTATTTTACTGAAGAACATTTTTAATTACTTTTGAATATGGAACTCATATACCAGACATGCATAAAGTAAGCAGAAAATTGCAAGAAGTCAATCAAAAGTCAGTTAATATCATAAAATAGAGGTGCAAGAGTGCGGCAAGGTGCTACGACAAAAAGTCGCACGTTAGGCCCCCCGCGGACGCGCGACAGGACGCCGAACACATAGGCCACGCTCGGTCGGATAGTTTACACATTCCTGAGTCTATTAATATAGCACATCAAATTTAGTTATACCTCTTTTACACGCATTAATTTACACACGTTGAATTCAATTATGGATATTTGAGAAGATAATATATTTTCCATAAATATACATATGTCGCATTTATTGATTTTAAGAGGTGTTTTGTTCAGCCTACGACTGAATAGTGGGAAATTACCAAATGGATTACATATCTTTGTTATATTTAAACATGACATGATTTCTTGAGTGTCTTATCAAAGATTATGAAATGTTCTTCTCGATGTTGAAAATGTTTCTCTTATAAAATGTCATTACGTAATTCTACTTTAAAATAAGTGGTATGTAAATTTATATTAAATTTATAAAATAAATTATAAACATATTTTTTTTAAGATAAAACTATTTTATTTGTTAGTTTTTTTGGGATGCAAAGTATGGTTCCTTTACAAGTAACATTTTACTCTATGCCTTTTTAAATTAAGAATTATCATGTTAGTTTCTCACAATGAAAATAGCTAAGTTTTACTTTACTGTTAAACCCTGTTTTACTTTACTGTAACACCCTACATACTGTTTTTAAGCTTTAATATGTAATACTAATATTAGTTATCATGAGTTAGAAGAAGTCAGTAAATACTTCTTTCTATAGACTCTCAAAACGAAGGTAAGCAGGTATAACACCCTCATTTGATTACGTAGAAAATAATAATTGCCCTGTAAACGTCCATGTATCTAGGTAGATATGTTTAGAGAGCAGGTTCTACAGGCCACATTTCGGTAAAGTTCGGCAAATATTGAGGGATATTCTGATAGACGGCTGAAAAAGTCGATCACCTATCACCCGCAACATCCGTCATTGTATGTAGATGGCACGGCATCAGAAACTTTATTAGGTAGTAATTTTATTTATATTCAGGGCCAATTAATAGAAGAAGAGTCCGATCGCCCCATGGGACGACACTCTGCGATCCATAAAATGTTCTGAGTTTGAGTCTGGGTGTTCTTTGTGTCCGTTTTATGTATGTTTGTAAAGTCTCCCGCGACACAGGATATATTCCTTATGCGGGAGTTGTCTTTTAAAAAAAGAAAAAGAATCTACTACACAACTGTCTACAACCTGTGCATGGTATGTACAATATGTAGACAAGTATTAGTTATCTTAAAAACATACCCTGAAGTGCCATGTTTGTTCTAATTTTGTATAGCTAACAAATGTCCAAATATTTAATAAAAAAAGGCATAGAGCAAAAATATTTCTCGTAAAAGAACCATACTTTGCATTTGAAAAAATAATAAATAAAATTGTCTTATCTTGAAAAATTATATTAATTATTTATTTTATAAAAATAATATCTTTAATAGGAGACTAAGGAAAACATGTCATGTTAAATTTGATAAAGAATTTTAATCCATTTGGTAATTTCGCACAATTCATTCGTAGGCTGAAAGCGGTAGAAGCACACTTTACATCCTTACCCAGAAGTTAATTTAACTTTAACTTGTCAATTGCGTTTTAAGCGGTCGCCACGCCGCTTCCTGCTACGCCGTGTGTTGTGGGTTCAAGCTCCACATGGGACGACACTTTGTGTGATCCACGAATTGTTTTCCTGAGTCTGGGTGTTCTTTGTGTTCGTTTCATGTATGTTTGTAAAGTCCCCCGCGACACAGAATATATTCCTAATGCGGGAGTTGTCTTATTTTAACAAAAGAAAAAAAAACTCGATTACTCATCGATTATAACTTCTGTATAATTATTTAACTTTGTCAAATACCATTATTCACAACACAATTAAGCATAAACATTGTATTAAGAAACTCCCATTTTTGATGTTTTTCAAACACAGTAAAAGAGATTAAAACCGATTAATGTCTGTCATTACATTCTTAAACTATGGTAACAGTACATAGTCAAGATGCCTTATAAGACAACGCGACTCCGCCCGTCGTATATCGGTGTAACGACACCTTAATGATCACTTAATCACGGCATACAAGACGGTAGGATGTTTTCATTAATGTCCGAGTCGTGGCCAAATTGGAAATACGGCTTTGTTGGAAATTGCCAATTACTTAGAAAACCTTACCATGTTTTTTTACTTGTGAAGACGCTAGTGGAAATGAAAAACGTTGCCTTTTTTGTTAGTTCTAGCGATACACTTGTTAAGGGCAAGTAATTAAAATATTTGTTATTTCTAGAATGGCCTGTCTTACTTGATGAATTTTAATAGAGAAAAAAGTATATATACTATAAAAACGCAACATATAAATTTTTAAATAGAGAAGGTTATTCGGTACATCTAAGGGGCAATTTATTTAAATTTTAGGTAGGTATTTTAAATTAATCATACTATAAATTATAAAATTTAAATAAATTGCCTCTCAGATATCAAAATATATGGTTAAGTTCAATAATAACTGATAATGCATGAATCTAATATAATTATGCAAACGAGTTTTTTGGTTGTATGTTTAAACGCGCTAATCTCTGAAACTATTAGTCGGATTTCAATAAAGCTTTTTGCATTATGGAGAGTAATTATCGAGGAAGAATATGGTTCTTATAACATAGCTCTACAGCCCTTAGGAACTTAACAGTGACAATAAACGCAAGTGCAACTGCGGAGAACGACTAGTATCTGATAAACTAAAATCGTGAAAACCGATTTTTTATTTGTCTCTAAAGTATATGATTCCTCATAAGAAAACGTCATTAATCATCAGTTTTATTATCATATTTTATTTTTAACTTTTGCTAAATAGTTATAAATGAATAAATTAAACAAATTGGGCGGTAAACTTATATTATTTATAATACATAATTGGCTACCTATATCAATAAATCACGTTCGTCTAATTCTATAACCATATGTTCTCTAGACAGTAGTTACAGAACATATAAGGTTATTTTATTTTTTTAATTATAAAGTCAATGTCGTAATACCAAATTAATATAAAAATAAAAATGAAAGATAATTTGTAATAACATTAATTATAGTTTATTGCGATTAGAGAGACCAAAAAATATTCTGGTACAGTACCTATGCGGAAATTATTTATTTATTAATTAATGACGTAATAGAAGTGGCGCCAATTTTTTGTTTTATTTAAAAATGGATGTACAGTCTAAGACCTAGATTTAAAATAAGTTTGAAGGGAACGCGAGAGATCCAAAATTCTCCCATCCGAAGAAGAGGCACCAGGTGCCGGCGAGCGTGAGTGTACGTATCTATGTATGTATAATAAAATCATACAAATTAATATTGTAGCATTAGTTAGCCACTTTTATAAATTGAATAATTTGACAAATGTTATTAGCATCAAATTAAGCTCTTTTGTTACGTTATAAAAATTACAAAATCGCATGGTAGTATCTTGCAACCAACAATAAAATGGTTATAATATATTCGCGTAAAATTTTGCCGTTTAATCCAAGTAACTCTCTAAGAACATCACTATACGTCGGTGCGTAATTGAAATCCATAAAATCACCTGGCAATTATATTACACATGTAAATTAAAACATATTAAAATTATGACTTTATAGTTTCACATTTATTTTACGATGACATTAGATGGCGCAACTACGGGACACCTGCCACAGAATTATCTTCATAACTATTTAATACTAAATATTTAAATGTTTTATTAGGTTTCTCAGTATCTCTCACAACACATGTATTCTCATGAAAATGGAATCATGAACCAATTAATCAAAAGTCGAATTAAAAACATTCGAGATTAGTTAAATAGTCGTCGTTATACGTCTGTGTCAGACGCCTGACACTTCAAGGTCGCTTTGCTCCTTGACACAGGTCTCCTGTGGGGTCTGAAGCCCACGGCACACCTCTAAATACATAAGTACTTGTATAACACCGCCTTTAAAAATCGAATATCATTCATATATTCATTTACATGAACTATTTATGCCAGAATTTATACCAGTTTTATATCTTAAGAAACTTTGTAGCGTTTTAATGTAACTAAATATAAGGAATAATAAGATAGATCATGGTATTGACTTATCATCAGTTAAGCAGGTTAAGCTTAAAACAACGATTATACCTACTACTTTTTCACAAGATAAAATTGGTAAAGAAATTCAATTGCTATATTGATTTTTACCTTCTTAAATTCCAAAAAGTTTTACATAAAAATGTATTCTGAGACATACTTTCTAAAATTGGAACAGCAAAAAATGCCCGCAAATATAGTTCTCGTTTACTGCGTAACAACATGGCGCGTATTAAATAATTATTTCTTGATCAATTAATGTACCATTTCAATTAAATATATAAACAAGTCCATAGAATATTGCTAAACGAGTTGTAATCACACATTTTTTTGCGTTCAACAGTAAAGCACTCTAATGACTAGACGTTCCGTATATGTCTGTGTTAGTCTCCTAGCAGTAACACGCGTTGACTTGCAATTAACTTTGATTTGTGCTAGATTTCTTAACGTTTTCATTATCTAGACAACTATGAAAAAGCACTTTGGTTCATAAGTGGTAAAACGCAATACATCTTAAATGGTCTAGAGTTAATTTTTGTATCCTTTTTGTCTTTTAAATTATTAGAAAGATAGATACGATGTACTGTACATAAAATCAATTATTTTTGGATATACAAATTATTTTTATACAAATATACCTATATATAGTATTGAAGGGCCTATTGCTCAAATAGTTATTAGCCCTGATTATTGATCCAGAGGTTGTTTGATTCGAATCCTAACCAGGACCAATACTTGTGTGATGAGCTCGATCAATTGTTCTGAGTCTGGGTGCAATTTATCTAAAACATGTATTGGCAAGTACCTATGTTTATCAGGCGACCATGTGTGGAACAAGTTATTATTATTAAATCGAAGCATAATGTTGGTATATTTATTTTAAATTGATTTAAAATTACCAAGAAAAAAATCGCACTCAAAATTTGTACTTTTTGTCAATTGGCACTTTTTCATAAATTATTTAATGTTGCACACATTAAATAATTTTAATATAAAATTAAATTAAATTCACTTAAATTTTTAAAAAATCTATCAAGTCTTGGCAATTGACGTCATCACGATAATAGTCAGAATCCTTCAAGAAAAATCTAATGACTATGATTCCCAAATATAGTGATTAAAAAATGATTGGATGTGGACCTTTTAATTGCCTGGTTATATGATTCATGTATCATTATCATATCATCACTTAAAGTTACTTAAAAGCAGGTAACGGACAATACACCATAATTTTAAATATATATTTATTACTAGCTGATCTGGCAAATGTTGTTCTGCCATATAAGTGAACAATGTGGGGGGTAGAAGGGTGAAAAATATTTTACAACCTATTCTCATACCGAAATTTACAAAAAAGAAAAACATTAAAATCGATCTAGCCGTTTCGGAGAAGTGCGACCACAAACACCTTGTCACTAGATATTTAGATAATAAATAAGCTACTTTCTTACGCAACTTTGCATTGGGCTTTAATACCCATGTACGCATGTATGTACATACGTATAAGTCTAAGATAAAATCGGTTTCTATACTCAAATTTACACAAATATATTTAGCAGTTTGGGCGTATTTTAGGAACAACCATCGCCACTAGCTTTAGCATTCATAACATTATGCATATAGGTTATTATTTGTGTTAGGATTATTAGCAATTTAATTACAAGGAGAGCACACGAGAGCAGATTAGATGGGAGACCTTTATATAGTTAGTCTAGTACTAAGTCTCGATTCCTATTCCTGAATTTTATGAGTGTCTTTCTTTAACAGGTCTGGTTTCAAAACCGACGGGCCAAATGGCGTAAACAAGAGAAGGTGGGTCCTCACGCTCACCCCTACAGCGGTTACCTAGGAGGCGCCCAACCACTTCCTACCTCGGCTACTTTACCAGCCCCCCCACATCCGTTCACTCAGCTTGGATTCGGCTTAAGAAAGCCTTTTGACGCTGCGCTTGCGTCTTTTAGGTACGTATTTAATTGAAAAAATGAATGAGAAATTTAAATATGTTAAACTGGCTTTTTCATTAATTAATAAAAATGAATTTGTGTATACGAATATGTTGTTCATAAATTAATCATTTTGTATGTAAAATTAATAAGCTGTAACACACCTGACAATCAAACAAGTTTTTAATTAACAACAACGTAAAAGTCGGCCACTCTACATAATATAAATAACCTCATTTGATTAATGAAATTAATAACGCAATATAATTTAGTACCTACTAAAGTACTTTGTTTTTTTAACAGGTATGCAAGTACACCTCTATTCGGAACTCAATATCTTCCACCGTTATCGCGTCCGTCTCTCTTCGGGGCTCCGCTCTACGCAACATCGCCAGCTCATTTCCATTCCCTATTTGCAAACCTTACCGTTCCTGAACCACCCCGTATGTCTCCTGAGCATTCCAGACCAGAACTCTCGCATACGTCTTCCGATGTATCCCTTCGATCACCCGAGCACGCCCGATTGTCACCCGAAGTCAACGGATCTCCAGCCCCTTCAGTTTCTCCTCCGATTTCTCCCGGTAGTGAAAGTTTGCACATACCGTCAGCTATGGAGGATGTGAGGAGCTCTAGTATTGCTGCACTGAGATTGGCGGCAAGGGAGCATGAACTTAGACTTGAATTTTTAAGACAAAGGGCCGATTTAATTTGCTGATTGTTTTAGAAAGATATATTCGCAAAGTATTATAGATAATGTAAATAGATTGTAACTTAATACAATTAGGCGTATTTTAAAACCCATAGATATTAGTCTAAAGATAAGTGTTAAGTAGGATTTCTTTTCTAATTTGTATAAATAGTAAAATTAAGATAAGTATGTTATAGTAGAATCTAAACTTTTTTGTAAAATCCGTCCTCTCTAGGTTTATGTTGTTCATATTTTTAGAGAATAAATAAATGAAGCTATTTTGATATATTTCTTTTCTTTATCCACTCCTGAAAATAAAAATTACATCACATCATCATCACATCAACAGCCTTTAATAGTCCACCTCTGAAAGGAGGTCTTGGCCTACTATACCACGCTGGCCAGACGGCTTGGTTTAAGGTACACACCTTAACAAGAAATAATTTTGCTTTATGCCTTTTTTTAAATTAATTATTTGGACATTTGTTAACTATACAAAATTAGAACAAACATGGCATGGCATGGTATGTTTTATAATAACGAATACTTGTCTACATATCGTACATACCATGCACAGGTAGTAGACAGTTGTGTAGTAGATTCTTTTTCTTTTTTTTAAAACAACTCATGCAATAGGAATATATCCTGTGTCGCGGGGGACCTTACAAATATACATGAACGGACACAAAGAACACCCAGACTCAGAACAACAATTTGTGGATCACACAAAGTGTCGCCCCATGTGGGGGTCGGACCCACAACACTCAGCGTAGTAGTGCGCGGCGTGGCAACCGCTTAAACCACTACGCCATCCGTGCAGTCAAGTCCGTGCAGTTTTCCTTCTCTTGAAAAGAAAAACAACTGTTGGAAAAGCGCAGCGTAAATCTTTAACCAGCAAGGGAGATCTCGTAAAGATATGGTAGTCGGTGTAAGCAAGCTTCTTTCAAGTGATCCTGTAGAAGTGCAGTCCTACGCTTATCAGTGGACGTTTAACGGTCTGATGAGTTATCTGATGTATTACCGCTTATAAGAAAAGTAAAGCTTGGTTGCAAGTAGTCCAAGTCTCCTCTCAACTATTCATTTAATAGTTATGATTATTCGTAAGTATTTCTAGTCTCATGAAATATTTAAATTTATAAAATATTTTAATCTGTTTCTGTCAGCTGGTAATTACCTACATCAGCGGGGAATCACAAATATAGTGATATTAAATTGTCATGACTACCAATATAGTCTTTAGTATCATTTTTACAAACGAACGGAAATGACAATATCATTAATTTAATTTCATTTAAGGAAAACACATAATTCACAGAATATAGGATGAGTCAGCAACAACAAATCACAGATATAGTCACAGATATCATATTGCGAATTCGCCGTGATAGTATAATTTAATTAAATAACAACGATTTGGTATCCGCAAAGCGTGGTTACCTCTAATTTGTTCGACTGTGGATTAGGTAAAGCTGTGGTTATAAAGCCAACGTATTAGCGGGTTATATACGCTAACAGTAATCTAGAGTAAAGCGATACTCACATGAACTCTTGTTCATGTGAGTATCTTGTTATCTTAACAAGATCTCTCATCATGTTGTTTTGGTGCTAACAATCCTTATAATTAAACTAAATTAACATCAATATAACTTATCCTACGTAAGAAAGTTAGATACTAAGTTTATTCAAACCATTGATTTCATAACGCATGTGACGTGCAACCACCAAAAGAATTTTTATGTAGGAAAGGTCAAGGCCACCCATGATAAGTAAAAAGTTAAGGAGATTTAAAATTAATAAGTTATAAAACTTATCAAATAAAACGGTTGCTTTATTTTTTTATTTATTTATTTCAGTTAGGAAAACCAACAGCTACAAAAATGAAATGGTCAGATTGATATGCTACATCAAGCCAATTACAGGTTTTCACGAATAGAATCATTGTAAATAACAGAGGTTCTGGAGCACTAACTAATACGACACTACACCTATACAACTATACAATAAATAATAATCGATCTAAAAATGTTACGATCTAAAAAATTCAAGGTTTAGCATACCGCGCACAACATTGCTTTTGGTATTAAAGGGATCAAGAGAGTATTCCTTGCACAATTTATTGAAATCTCCGCTCGCTCGCACAATATATGAATTTTTTCTATAGATTGAGGAAGAAATTGGAATAGAAATGGGTGGATTAAATCTAATCGACTTACGGGGGACATTAAAATTTAACTTTTGCAAAAGGCTAGGACAGTCAATCTCATTAGAAATAATTTTCAAAAGAAAAGAACAATCAGCTAATCGGCGTCGATTTACAAGTGGCTGGATATGAAATTTCTTACACAGACCAATGTAATTGTTTGAGCTATAAGGAATATTTAAACGAAAACACAAGAACCTCAGAAAACGTTTCTGTATGTTCTCAATGCGATCAATGTACTTATGATAGCAAGGGTTCCAAACTTGCGAGGCATACTCCAGGTGGCTCCTAACAAAAGTACAGTAGAGAATTTTTAGCGTTTTAGCTTTTACGAAACATTTGGCAATTCTCATTACAAACCCCAAAGCCTTGGAAGCTTTAGCAATAATTTGCTCAATATGCACATCGAACAGTAGCTTCGCGTCATGGTAAACACCAAGGTCACGTACCCCATCACATCTTGGCAATACTTGTCCCTTAAGTTCGTATGGTGCTAGTATTGGTGACCGTTTTCTACCAAACGTGACGACTGAGCATTTAACGGGGTTTAGTTCCAATTTATTTAATTGACAGTAGTGATCAAGTCGTGATAAGTCTGATTGAAGAAGATTTTATTTAGTAAATGGTTGTAAGATACAACAACTACCTATTACATGAATTAATTTCGTATGGTTAGATATTATTTAGATACTATAAGCTCTCCCCTAGGAAAAAATCCTGTATCGTAGGGCACTATTACAAACATACATGAAACGTACAAACAGACCACCCAGACTCAGAACAACAATTTGTAGATCACACAAAGTGTTGTCCCATGTGGGTATCGGACCTATAACACTTAGACCATCACAGTCATTAGTTGTTATTACTTATTATCTATGCCATCGACGTTACTGAGGGACATAATACAAATTTTATTTTGTTTCCAAATGATAAGTGGATTTCTTCTTATGCGTTATAAGTTATCGAAAAACTACATGAGCTACTGGTGATTAGCGACAGCTGTTCGAAATAAGAAATACATTCTAAAACACAGTTATACATCTACATTCCATTTGTAACTACATTTTACAATAAAACATTAATGTCTTATCCAAGACATAATGCTTTTATGAGTTATGTCATCTTTAATTGACACAAAAGCATACAATAAACGAGACTGCTAGAATAATAATATTGGAAAGGAATTTATTTTTTCTTAAATGAGAGGTGCTATGAGCAAAAACATTATAAATTACTAAAACATCTCTAAACCAAGAGCGCTTTACTCCTTCAAGATCGCTACCCGCTTTCTATGACACCTCACTTCGACTCATCGCAATGATTCACCGCCAATCACATACAATCATCACAATTTGGCGTTAGTCACCCAAGACACCAAGGCCAGTGAAGGGACGTTCCATTACGTGCAGTGGTTATTAGCCTGGAGCATGACCTAGGACGATGCGGTTACAAACACTAGATTATACGCTAGTTTATGTGATGATGAGTGTAGGGGTCAATGTTCTGCTCTTTTTGTCCAAGGTTTTTTTTTATTTATTTATATTCTTTATAGACACTGAACTATTTTCCCGTACAATACGTATAGTATCTTTAAAAGAGTATATAAAATATTCATATACTACTAACTATATTTGGGTTCCGCTCATCCTATGCTACATATTGCACACAGACTGTTGCTGTCATTTCATTTCGTAAATTCAAGATAAAAAAATTGGGAGTATCATCATCATTATCAACAGCCTTTAATAGTCCGCTGGTGGACATTGGCCTCTCTTTAGAAAGGAGGTTTTGGTCTACGATATCACGCTGGCTGGACGGGTTGGTACAGGATTTGTTTCAAGTTTTCTTTTTCTTTGCAGTGCTGTTGTCGCTACGTAGTTCGCTTCCTTAGTCGGCTCTTACGACACCGATGGGATCAATAGGGATGGTGACGCTACTATTCTTATTCTGTCACCACGCGGAGGAGTATATTCAAATTGAATTAGTAGGCAAGAATAGGCAATGATATTGCAACGTGAACTGCCTATTGCGGCTAGTCGAAACCTTGTTCCACTACTACCTACTAAAAGCAATTAATTGTAGAAAATTACCAGTTTTGTGAACAGTGGCATATCGTTCAAAAAAATTTTTTCTCAATTACCTACTTGGTTTTGTCTCCGACGGCGAGTATATCGGTTACCGCGGTAAAAAGTAGTATTATTAGTATTAATGATAATGTAGCTTTCATTGGTGAAATAACTAAAAAAATCGGTTTAGTGCTTTAGGCTTGAAAGCGTAACAAACTTACATACAAACGAACTAATTTTCACATTTATAATATGTCTTAGATACGTGTTTATTAGTTTTTTCAGGACCTTACAAACATACATGAAACGGAGACAAAGAACACCCAGACTGAGAACAACAATTTGTGGAACACACTAAAGTGGTCTCCCATGTGGAGATCGAACCCACAACATTCAGCGCAGTAGGAAGCGGCGTGGCGACCGCTTAAACCACTACGCCATCCGTGTAGTCGTCGGAATAGTGGTGGGCTGCCCGGAGTTCGTTGATTGAACACCGCATATCGCGTATAATATTTATTATCATCTACCTACCTTTGTCCCAAATATATTTGGGGTCGGTGCAATGAGTTTTCTTCTACCATTCTCCTTGATCACACGACATCCTCTTTCACGCAATCCTTCGTTTCATTGCGAAATGGTTTTGGCTTTTTATTTTATGGCCAGGTGCCTGCCTGATGCCGACCATTCTTAGGCATGTAATCATTGTTCGTACATAGTTGGTAAACATGTATTTGGGAATGCCAAATAGCCATTTTCAA